CTTTCATAGCCCATAATGTATGGTATAACCGACACCTGAGCTATGAAAGGAACTTGATTTGTTGTCAACATAAGTTATAATCATGAATGCTTGACGAGATTTACAAGTATTAGCATTAATTGAATAAGATGACTAATGTAATCATGTTAACAATATATAATCTGATTGGAACCTCCTTTGTGTGTGGTTTCCAATTCAATAATAAGAGTTTATACTATACTTGTTTGACATACTATTAGTGAATCCTCTAACCTTGACATTGTTTGTTATCGTTGTTTAATCCTTACGTTAATTTTCCATCTCAAAGTTCTCATTAATCCAAGTTCTCATCTTCTTCTTCGTCTTCTCTTTCTTTATTATTATTATTATTATTATTACTATTACTATTACTACTACTACTACTAGTAGTAGTAGTATTATTAGTATTATTATCGCTACTATTATTATTATTGTTATTACTATTACTATTACTACTACTACTACCTGTGTTGCTACACTGTGCAAGTGAATTAATTCACTTGCATAGTGTAAAAGGCCTCTTAATTGTGATAACAAAAGAAGAGGAAACAACGTACCTGTTCTGTGAGAGGCGTTGGAGACGAGGGTGAAACTCGGGCTGGAATGGATGTTGGTGATTTTCATCCTTTCCTTCTGTTTTCCTGGAAATGGGAATGAAGATGCTGGCTTCTGTGGGTGCTGAAATTTTTTGGGTCGTTTTCTACAGGAATGAAGGCAACGGTAGCTGATGGTGATTTTCGCCCTTTCCTTCTGTTTTCCCAAAAATGATAACGATGATGCTAGTTTCTATGGGTGCTGGAAAAAAAAAAATTTGGGTCGTTTTCTGCAAGAATGAAGGCAACGACCACTGATTCCTCCTCTGTGTAAATTGTGTATGCTCTGTTTTACTTTGGGTTTTTTTTTACTCGGTCTTTGCACTGTTTTAGGCTTCCCCCTCCCCTCTGGTTTTCGAGTCACCTTTTATAGAGCTCAAAAGCTCCGCCTTTCATCAATCCAATCTTTGCAGGACTCCTATTCAAATCACGAATAGGATTATGGGAAAGAGATGTGGTCCACGACTGCTGCGGATTTCCTGTTGAACCAGTACTCTCCGCGCAAAATGGAAGGGATGCAGAACAAGGCTTCCAAATGACGCCGTTTGTATCCTTAGGCTATTTTTCACTTTGGTCCCTAAACGTTTAAAACTTAACAATTGGGATCTTAATCAATAATAATCAATTTCTAATTGTGCCCTTGGATTAATTTCAATTGAACCCTCAATTATAGTGCCATTTACACAATAGTCATGAATTTCTAAACTATTCAATTTAATCCTTGGACTTTAATTTTCTAGCAATTTTCTCTGAATAACCTCCAAACTTTGGTATTTCTTCAATTAAACCCCTGATTCTTTTAATTAATTAAATCAAAGTTTAATTAAGTCCTCAAACTCATTAATTCCCTAATTTCTTTTAATTTGATTAATTAACTTAATCCCAAGCTCAATTAAGTCTCAAAATTTATTAATTCTCCAATTAAACTCGATTTAATTAACTAAACTAGTGAAAAATTTAATTAAATATTTAAACTTTCCAATCATGTTGCCATTAACCCAAATTTTAATTCATTCTTCATTTACCTTTTTTTTTTATCATTTTTTCATCATTTTTAGTAAATAAAATAATTCAAATAAAAAAATAAAAAATTGGGTTATGACAATTGCCCCCTCTTTATAATATTTACTATGCAACAATATTAGAAAATTTCATTTTCTTTTAGCTTTGTGTAGTAAATTTATAAATAAAATTAGATACAGAAAGAACTTTTGATTCTTTTTTTTTTTAAATTTTGAAAACTTTGAAAATAGTAGATTGACATATGACCTTTACACAGAGATGTAGAAATCCAAAAACAAATCATTTGGGAGATGACCCATTTTTTTGTTTTTGTTTTTTTGTTTTTTTTTTTGAAGTTGATCAAATTGTTTTGGGCAACCTGCCTAATGATAAAAGAAATGCGAAGAATTTTGCAAGTGGTCTAATTATTCCAGGCGACCTACCCGATGAAGAATAAAAATACAAGGATTTTTTTTTTATGATATATTGTAATGGGTTACCTACCCAGTGTAAGGTGGTATATTGTAATGGGTTACCGACCCAGATGTTCACATTGTAATGGGTCACCTGCCCAGTTGGTATATTGTAATGGGTTACCTACCCCGATGGTATATTGTAATGGATTACCGACCCAAATAGTCACATTGTAATGGGTCACCTGCGCAGTTGGTATATTATAATGGGTTACCTACCCAGATGGTCGCATTGTAATGGGTCACCTGCCTAGTTGGTATATTGTAATGGGTCACCTACCCAGATGGTCACATTATAATGGGTCACTTGTCCAGATGCTATATTGTAATGGGTTACCTACCCAGATGGTCACATTGTAATGGGTCACCTGCCCAGATGGTATATTATAATGGGTTACCTCCCTAGATGGTCACATTGTAATGGGTCACCTGCCCAGTTGGTATATTGTAATGGGTTACATACCCAGATGGTCACATTGTAATGGGTTACCTGCCAAGTGGAAGAATACAAGGATTTTTTTTTAATAAGACATGATGGGGCTCGAAGGCACACTATTCAATAGATGGAAGCTCGAAGGAAATGAGGGCTCGAATGCGCACTCAAAAGAAGGTAGGATAGGAAATGCACTACCTTTGATGGTTGAGGACTCGAAAGCGCGCTCGAAAATAAATAAGACGAGGGCTCGAAGGCGCGCTTGAATGGAGGTAGGATGCACTATCTATGATGGTCGAGGGCTCGAAGGCGCGCTCGAATAGAGATAAGACGAGGGCTCGAAGGCGCACTCGAATGGAGGTAGGATAGGAAATGCACTACCTCAGGAATGGAAATTGAAAGGTGGTGAAAAAATAGAGAGATTTTTCAGGTGGCCTAATTCTCATGGGCGGCCTGCCCAGGTTGAAAAATTCTCAAAAATGAAAATTTTTCAAAAGCAATTTTAATGTTCGCCATTTCAAGTTGGCCTTCTGCTTGATGGATTTCGTTAGAATTTTCTCTAGTAAAATATGCAAAACTCATTGTCCAATGTCTCAAAGTTTAAATGATATGCATGCATCTTTACCTGATTTGAAACATAGGCCCCCATTTCTTCTTAATCTTCTCGTTACTTGGTTGGTGAGATCTTGCTATCTGATTTGAGTCATCTTTGTCATTTAGCTTTCTAGCCTACTCGAGTTGGCCCATGTAACTTGTTTGCTCAACTCAGCATTTATGGTGCCCATCATGACCCTCTTGCTTGCTAAAGATTTTCTGATTTGTTAAATAATTTGAGAGGACCACTCATTACTCCTCGTTTCACTGCTAGAAACATTCGGTGTCACTTGCTGAAAGGATCAAGCTGTCTTTTGTAAACCAAAATGCCCCTTTGTCTAGTTAAAGGAAATTACCATCTCCTTTCTAAAATTTTTCCTTTTAAACACAATGTTGCCCCCTTATATTGGTTATTGCCTCTAAGTGTGCTCCGTTAGTGATTTGGACAAATAATGGTTTTAAGAGGTCATTCTCTCATTTCTATCCTTTTTCTGTTTGGTGAAGGAATATGGGTCTATAATGAATCTTGAAATCTTGATCTTGCATTTTGGAAACAAAAAAATTATTTCGATGTGAGTCTAAAACAATTTGCTTTTGAAATCTTGCAACTCCTTGGTTATTTTTTTCTTGGAAAAGAGATTATTTGTTCTTGCGTTTGGCAATGAGGTCTTCGGTGAAAATATATCATGATATTATGACCTTTTGTTTTTATAGGTTTTCAAAGTGGAGGGCTCGAGAAAAAGCTCAAGGTTTTGTATGAGAAGAACTTGTGTCTTTTTGCACATTTATTTTTATCAGCATGAATAATAATGAGTAGTTTATTCTTGATGTCATGAATCTTATGAAAAAGTATTTTTTGCATTTTGAGAGCATTGTTTATTATTCTAGGTTGCTTGATTGCTTGATTAAAAAGGACTTCTATAGGCACGTAACGTAAGCTGTGGTTTTTTGGCTATGAAAAAAAATGATTCATAAGGCTCAATGCGTGTTTCAGGGCTTCAAAGACTAAGGATCACTATTAACAGTTTGACTATTGTTGTCATTCATATTTTCTTTTGCCACTCTTTTTTGATTTGCTGCTTTTTTTTTTCATTGCTTTGCTATAGAGCATACTCACTTTATCTTGGTTATCACTTTTTCTTATGATTTGGGCATGCCCCCTAGCATTTGAGTTTCTTGGGCTTTTTTTTTTTTTGACTTTCTCACGGCTTTATCATCTTTCTTGATCATTGAAATTTCACTTGCCCCCAGTGTGGGGTGTGATCCTAGTCGGGATTTTTATGAAAGAAAAAAATTATTCAGGCTCAAAAAGGGTTTGTAAGGGATGTATTTATTTTAGAACGTGAAAGGAATAACAAAGATGACCTTTCCTCATTTCAAGCGCAAGCAGCTATGATCAATAAACTTTGACCTCGTATAGTATGATGGTTTATTCTTTGCAAAGATGCATTTCATGAGTTATGAGCAACAAGTTCACTATATGCCATTATTCATACATTTTAAAAAAACATGATTCAAGAGTAATGGGGTAAGGGTGTTTATTCATTTCTTTTCTCTTTTTTTATAATTTTTTGTTTATAATTTAGTCACCTCAATAATGGAGTTGCTTGATTCACTTGTCATTCTACAAGTAGAATGTCAAAAATATCGTTTTTGAATAAACATCAAATTACTTTTTGAAATCAAAATGCCAAATCAATTTTTCAAAACTCTAATAGGGAAACTGATTTTGGTAAAAGTAATGAATTGAATCTATGAGATCATGCAAGGCTTCAAGGTTGTATTTACTGATTCTTTGATATCAATAAACATATATAAGAGAGAGAAAAGACATGCAAAGTGAATTTCTTGGCAAAAATTTTATTGATTTGATGAGAACTTATACAATCATGGATAATATTTCTTCACAGAATTGGAATTCACTGGCCTACTCAACTCTTCTCCATCCATTCCTGTCAATATCAATGCTCCTCCAGAGAATGTCTTCTTTACTACATAGGGACCTTCATAATTGGGTGCCCACTTGCTATGATTTTCATTAGGTAATAATAGGATTTTTCTCAATATAAGTGATTAGTACTTAAAAGTGCATTTTTATCAAGGTTTTATATCATCATTTTGCACTTGAAGTATCAATAACTCCTTAACTAAAGCATGTTTTATAATAATATATCTAATAATATAAGATACCTATAATTTGTGGTAAATGTCTATTTAGATACCTTTAATTTATGGTAAATGTTCATTTTAAATGCAGGCCTATCACATAAATGAAAGGATTGATTGATGAATTTAAGAACTGAAATTGAAAGGATAAAGAGATGGCCAAACTTAAAAAAGAGATATCGGTGCAATCCAAACCAGAACACTGTTCGGTAATTGGGTCATATCTGGAGTTATAGATCTCAGATTTAGGTCTACTTTATATGGATGGAAATGTAAGACATAGACCTACAACTTTCATATGGAGCCTAAGATCTAAAAAGGCCATTTTCAAGTCCAAATTGTAGCAACAACAAAAAAGCCCGAATCTGTCCTCCACCTCGAGCACTGTTCAGTATTTTGGCCATATATGGAGTTCTAAAAGTCTAAATGAGCTGAATTTTTTACATAAGAAAGATGAGCCAATTGCCTACAACTTTTATGTTTTTGAGTGGCTCTAATTTTGACGTTATCAATGACGGTTTGGGTAGACAAGAGAAGATAAGGATTGTCACCAAGTCAAGAGTTGGCCACCCATTCATTAAATAGTCATCAAATCAATAGTTCCTAATTTTGGTCTATAAAAGGAGGCATTTGCCATGCATTTAGGCATCTTGGTTTCCAGATCAAGATCATGCTCTTGCTTTCTCTCTTTGTATTTTTTGTAATGTTTATGCTTTGTTTTCATTAATATCAAGTTTATGCCTTTGAATTCCTTTCCTTTGCTTTGTTAACTCTTATCTTATTTATGTTCTTATTTTGTTTATTTATTTTTCTTTCTTTCATTATGTCTAGCTAAGTTTATTATGTCAAGGTGAAAAGGTTACACTAATGGTGTAAGAATAAGTATTGTCTAAACTTAATATGGACTTTAATGTTTGATACTAACATCTTTAGTATTTGTTATCTTATTCACTCTTTAATACTTTGCTTGTTAAGTGACTAATCTTGATTTATGTTGTATAACACTTGGTACAACAAATGCTTGTCACTTTCATAGTTCATATTGTATGGTATAACCGACGCCTGAGCTATGAAAGGAACTTGATTTGTTGTTAACATAAGTTATAATCATGAATGTTTGACGAGATTTACAAGTATTAACATTAATTGAATAAGATAACTAATGTAATCATGTTAACAATCTATAATCTGATTGGAACCTCCTTTGTGTGTGGTTTCCAATTGACTAATAAGAGTTTATACTATACTTGTTTGACATACCATTAGTGGATCCTCTAACCTTGACATTTATTGTTATCGTTGTTAAATCTTTACGTTAATATTCCATCTCAAAGTTCTCATCTTCTTTTTCTTTTTCTTTATTATTATTATTATTATTATTAGTATTACTATTATTATTATTAGTATTATTATTGTTGTTGTTGTTGTTGTTGTTGTTGTTGTTGTTATTATTATTGTTGTTGTTATTGTTTATAATTTGTATAATTAACCTCCCTGTGGTTTGATCCCGGTCTTGCCGGGTTATTTATTACTTCGACACTCCTATACTTGGGAGAAGACATCAATCTTTTGGTCGTGTCAACAAGATCCCCTGCTTCAAACTCTTTTGGTCGAACTTTTCTGTCACATGCTTCTGCTACCCTGTTTTGATACAATTGGTGGTGATAAATTGTAGCTAATCGCTTTTCACTAATCATATTTAACTGTTCATATCGTATCTTTGCCCATTTAGCCTCTTCTAACTCAGATTCCATGAGGACCCTTAGGGAAGGAATCTCTACTTCCAAAGGCATCACTACCTCCATTCTATAAACTAATGAATAAGATATAGCCCCAGTGGATGTCTTTATTGTTGTTCGATATGCATGTAGAGCATAAGAAAGCCATTCCTGCCAATCTTTATATGTAACCACCATTTTCTGGACAATCTTCTTTATGTTCTTGTTAGCAGCTTCAACAACACCATTCATCTTTGGTCGGTAAGGGGATGAATTGGAATGCTTGATTTTCCATTTAGTGCATAATTCTACGATCATCTTCCCATTGAAGTTCTTGGCATTATCGATTACTATCCTTTTTAGCAAACTATACCTACAAATTAGGTCTCTCTCAATGAAACGCTTGACCACTTTCTGCGTCACATGAGCATATGAACAAGCCTCCACCCACTTTGTAAAATAATCAACTGCAACCAAGATAAATCGATGATCATTGCTGGCTTTTGGATTAATAGGCCCAATCACATCTATCCCCCACATTGCAAATGGCCAAGGTGACACCATATTGAATAAGGGCAATGGAGGCGCATTGATTTTGTCACTATACACCTGACATTTATGACATCTTCGGACGAATTCTATACAATCCTTCTCTATAGTCATCCAAAAATACCCAGCTCTTTGTATTCGTCTTGCCATCATGTGTCCATTTGCATGGGTGGTGCAAATTCCTCCGTGTACTTCGTACAAAGCTTTATTGGCTTCTGATTTGTTTAGGCATCTTAATAAAGTCCCATCAAATGCCCTTTTGTATAAGATTTCTCCATCTAGAAAGTATTCCATTGCCATTCTTCTTAGTGTCTTCTTATTTGTCTTTGAAGCTTCGAAAGGATATTCCTGATATTGGATGAATCTTTTTATATCTGTATACCAAGGATTGCCATCAATTTCTTCTTCTATTAAATAACAATGAGCAGGAGATCTTCTTATATCAATGCCTATAGGATGTACTCTGATACCACAATCGATTGTGGCCATAGAGGCCAGGGCTGCTGAAGCATCCGCAAACTGATTCTTATCCCTTCCTAAATGATTGAACTCTATCTCTTCAAAGTTTTCAGCCAACTTGGAGAGATATTCTTGATATGGTTTCAATTTCTCATCTTTTGCCTGCCATTCCCCCTTTGTCTGGCAGATTATCAATATGGAGTCTCTATATACCTCTAGTTTCTGTATCTTCAGTTCCAATGCAGCTTCTAATCCATGAATGCAAGCCTCATATTCAGCTGTGTTGTTTGTGCAACTAAATTGCAGTTTAATGGAGATGGGATATTGTTTTCCTTCTAGAGAAATTATTACAACACCAGCTCCATTACCAGACACATTCACTGCACCATCAAAATATATGGTCCACCATTCATTTTCTATTATTAGCACATCTTCATCAGGGAAGTCAAAATTTAATGGCTCATAGTCTTCGAGGGCGTTATCAGCTAAATGGTCTGCGATTGCACTTCCTTTCATGGATTTTCTTGTATTCAGCCAACAACACTTGCCATCTAACCAGCCTATTTGACATGTACGGTTTTTCAAAAATATATTTCAGAGGATCTATCTTTGAAATTAACCAAGTGGTATAATATAGCATATACTGTCGGAGTCTTTTCACACTCCATACCAAAGCACAACACAACTTCTCAATCATACTGTAACGAGATTCACACTGAGTGAACTTTTTGCTAAGGTAGTAGATGGCTTGTTCTTTTCTTCCGGTCTCATCATGTTGGCTAAGCACACATCCCATTGCTGATTCAGTCACTGTTAAATACAAAATGAGAGGCTTCTCGGGCACAGGTGGTACCAATAGAGGTGGGTTCTGCAGATATTGTTTGATCTTATCAAAGGCTTTTTGACAGTCTTCATCCCATACTCCAGGGTTTTTCTTTCTAAGTAATTGAAAGATTAGTTCATAAGTGATTGTAAGTTGTGAAATAAATCGAGCAATGTAATTTAAACGCCCCAAAAAATCTCGAACTTCTTTCTTGGTTTTAGGAGCTGACATAGCTTGTATGACCTTCACTTTATCAGGGTCTACTTCTATGCCATTATTGCTTACCATAAATCCCAACAACTTCCTCGATTTCACCCCAAATGTGCATTTTACAGGGTTCAACTTTAATTGATATTTTCTCAGCCTTTCAAACAATTTCTTCAGAGCTGGGATATGGTTTTCCTCATCTTTAGACTTAGCAATCATATCATCCACATATATCTCAATTTCTTTATGCATCATGTCATGAAATAGTGTCACCATTGCTCTTTGATAAGTTGCCCCAACATTTTTCAGTCCAAATGGCATAACTTTATAGCAATATGTTCCCCACGGGGTAACAAATGTTGTTTTCTTCTTGTCTTACTCGACCATTTTAATCTGATTATATCCAGAGAAACCATCTATAAAAGAGTAAGTAGAACTCTTAGCAGCACTATCCACTAGCACATCTATATGGGGTAAAGGAAAATTATCCTTCGGGCTTGCCTTATTCAAGTCTCGGAAATCCACACATACCCTGATTTTGTTATCTTTCTTGGGTACTACTACGATATTGGACACCCATTGAGAATAATCGACTACTTCCAAGAATCCAGCATCCCACTGTTTCGTTATTTCTTCTTTCACTTTGATTAGTATATCTAGCCTTGTCCTCCTCAACTTTTGCTTAATTGGCTTACAACCTTCTATCAAAGGTAGTTTATGTACCACAATATCAGTATCCAGACTAGGCATATCAGTGTATGACCAGGCAAAAACATCAACATATTCTTGTAAAAAAGCAATCAATTTACTTCTTTCATCAGCACAGACTAGCTTCCCTATCTTCAACTCTCTTTTATTATCCTCGGTGCCCAAATTTATCAGTTCTAATTCTTCTTTTGCAGGCTTCCATGTGCGGTCAGATTGTTCGACTAACCTTACGAACTCATGGATATCCTCTTCACCAAACTCTTCCTCATTCATGGCAATTATATTTTCATCAAAGTTAAGCCAATTATCCATAGTGCAATGAGTTTGTGAGGTGTATGACAATCTGCTTTTAGATTTCCTGAAAGCGGAAAGTGTTTCGGTTATGAGTATATAGTTTTGGGAAAGTAGATAAATGAATAGAGAAAAAGAAAAACACAATTGAAAGAAAGTATGCATGATCTCATTGAAATTTAAAGGATAGAAAGGCTCAACCACAAAACCTTATTGCCAATCTTAAGCCATGATGATTTGGCAAGGCACAATTATTCAAACAATACAAATAACCAAAACAACAAACAAGTAAACAAACATTACTTTTTGAAAATAATTGAAACTTCATGAATTTCCCAATTTGCTAAATCTTCTCCCTCGGCCAGTTTCCTCACGAATTCTGATGAGCCATCTTCCAAAACGCCAATAGTCAGCTGGGGCAACTATTCATGAGTACTATCTTATTCCTTTAACTCTTGTTCACCGACTTTTTCAAGATAATTGATAGTAACACCATTGAATTCCTTTCGTAGTCCTCCCTCATAGTCTTTAGTTTTTATCACATATACGGATCTTGGGAACGTTACATGGATTGGTGGGATCTCCATTCGATCTTCATTTGGTTCTCTCCTTTCAATCCGAGCCATTCTCTTTTCTCTTCTAATTTCAGCTGCTCTTTTGAAATCTGCTTTCCCAACCTTAAACCCTAAGCCAAACCTTTGATCCACACACTTCATTTTTATCACATTAACCCTCTCAGGCATTCCAGTAGTGTGGTCATATTGAAATGGCAATCCATGCTTTAAGAAGTATTTAGCAGCCATTTTTGCTGCTTCGGAAATTTCTGGCTTTCTTCGTATCGTATTTTCTGGTACCCATTCAGCATTTACAACTTCAAATGCATGTAGATTTTCATCGTTACTTTCTTCAGTTTCTATGTAAGGGATCGACATATTTTTCATTATTGACAAAGTTTCCTCAGCCTTCACAGTCACCAAATTTCCATTGATGATAAACTTGACCCATTGATGTAAAGAAGATGCGACAGCTCGGGCTGCATGGATCTAAGGTCTCCCAAGTAACATGCTATATGATGGATGAATGTCCATTACTTGTAATGTGACTTGAAATGGTTGTGGGCCAATGATTAGTTCAACATCAATACTCCCAATGATTGGTCGAGGTGACCCATCATATGCCCTAGTAGTCATGGTACTTGGCTTCATATGAGAGGCATCAACTGACATTTTATCAAGTACGTGTCTTGGCAATATATTGAAAGCAGAACCATTATCTATAAGCATCTTAGCGACCACATAATCCTTGCATTTTACCGTGATGTGCAATGGTTTATTATGACCGGTCCCTTTATGATCTAGCTCATCATCGGTAAAGTAGAGGTAGTTGGTGGCTTGAATCCTGCCCACCAAATGTTCTATGGAGTCTTGTGTGATATTCTGAGGAACATATGCTTCATTAAGAACCTTTTGAAGCGCGTTCCTATGCAATTCTGAACTCAACATTAATGACAACAAAGAAATCCTAGTAGGTGTTTTCTTTAGCTGATCAACCACACTATATTCGTTGTGCTTCATCAATTTCAGAAATTCATTAGCCTCTTCATCACTTACTAGCTTATTAACCTCATCTGTCTTTGTCAATTCCACCATATCCTTTCCTTTAGCTTTTCTATGGTTTTCCAACTCTTTAGGAGTAAAACATCTCCCACTCCAAGTGAGTCCTCCTATTTTAGCATGGAAAACAGGGGCAAGATTTGTGCTGTGAAAGGAATAACCATAATTATAGGGTTGGGCATTAAAACTCCCACTGACAGTATTCATAGGCTTGGTTAGGATCATTTTTGGTGGACCCTTTTCGGTTGGTATATATCTACAAACTTCCACTTTCTTGTTACAACCAGTCATTATTCCTACTAACTCATTTTCTTTGGGTTTCATCAATCTTAATACTCCCAACATCATCATATTTTCTACCTCCAAATGAAACTCCTCGCAGGAGTCGATATCATGCCCAAGCTGCTAATGATATTTACAATATTCATTCGCATTCCTTATAGCTTGTACTTTGACTGGTGTCTTTAGATAGTCTGTTTGCCTCAACATCCCATACAATCTATCCATAGTCACCCTTAAAGTTGATGTACTTCCCCTTCCTATCTCCAAATTATTAACTCCCTCACTTCTAGAAGCATGATTTGGTAGAGGGTTAGAATTCACATTTGGAGACTCATCAAAACAAATCCACCCAACTTTGATGAGCTGAAGGATTTTTCTTTTGAATGCAATACATCCATCAATATTATGACCGACAGCACCAGCATGGTATTCACATTTTTGATCGAGTTTATACCAAAAAGGAAATGGTGGTTATAAAGGTTCTAATGGAATAGGTGCTACCTGACCAATACTAAGCAATCTTTGGTGCATTTCACTAAGAGACATGGGTAATGGTGGAAGTTGCACTTGATCTGTTGGAAAATTTCTTCTTGGGCGGTAGGCATTATTGGTTTGGTTATTTATTGGGTTGTTTTGGGTGTTTGTAGGTGAAGAGAATTTTATATTGGATATAGAGGGGGTAGGTGGAATACTTTTGAAGTTGTAATTATCTTGGTAGGTTTTCTTCCCTCTATTTTCCCTTTCAACATTGTGAACTTTCATTTCTTTCCTTTTTCCAATAAAACCTCTTTTTTTAGTACGATCCACAATCATACCTATCCGAACAACTTGTTCGATCCTTTCAGCTATGACAACCAAATCGGAGAAATTTTGTCCTGCACTACCTACCAAGTATTCAAAGTACGAGGCTTTGAAAGTGTTGGAAAATAAGCCAGTCATCTCCCTTTCCGACAATGGAGGACTTACTTGTGCGGCTAATTCACGCCACCTTTGGGCATATTCTCTTACAGACTCCTTACTACCTTTTTCCATGGCTTGCAGACTTGATCTATTTAGGGCAATATCCATGTTGAACTTATATTGTCTAATAGAAGCATCAACCAAGTCCTTCCATCCTTTAATCTTGGTATTATCTAAACACATATACCAAGTAAGAGCAGCATCACTTAAACTGTCCTAAAAGAAATGGATCAATAACCTCTCATCATGGATTACTTAAGTCATCTTATTACAATATGCTATAAGATGAGTGATTGGGCACTGAGTTGCGGTATATTTAACAAATTCTAAAACTCTGAATTTTCTGGGAATAACCATGTTAGGCACTAAACACATTTCAGCGGCCTTCACCGGATCATACAAACTATTCCCTTCTATTGCCTTCATTCTTTCTTCTTAGGCAGCTAGTTTTTCATGACCATTTTCCTCCACTATCTTATTCTTTTGAGGTTCTTCTTCTGTCAACACAATATGGGGGACCCTCATTAGATGTGCTGATTGAGTAGCTATGAAAGGAGCAGCATGCTGAGGTTCAAATTGTGAAATAAAGGAAGGCAGAGGCTGAGGTGTACATGTTTGTTGAGAAGATGTTCCTTCCCCAACTCTAGGCCTCAAAGCTTGCTCGAGCAGGCTAGTGAGCCTTGCCACATCCTCTTTCAGGCTTTCCAACTCTCTTTGATGTTGCATTTCTAATTGAGTTCTCTCTTTATTTTCCATTTTCTTTTGTGAACGAGTATTATGGATACGTTTCAGTTGAGGACCTATATTTCACCTGTTATATGCAGAATATGACAATCTATAAGCAAATGTATGAGATGCATGAATGTGAATGCAACATATTGGATATAGAGTCGCATTTTGCTGGTGACATATGGTCGTTATTCATTGGATATGTAGGTTGAGCTTGAACTTGTTATCATTGTTGTAATGCCGAGGAGAGATCTGCTTAGCTTTTTGACATTTGGGCTTTCAGCCATATACAGATGTTTTTGCATTGAAAATGTGGGTTTAACCCTTTCATTACTTATTTAAAAGCTTACAATGAAAAATTAATCTAATCTATTATAGGAGAAAAAACACTGCCTTTAGTAGCTATTGTTCTTAAAAAAAGATCAATGTTATCCATGCTTCTTCGATATTTCATTATGTCTCCTCCTATTTGGGCTTCCACTCGTAGTAAATGGGCTTCTATAGCTGCTCTATCAATTTGATCCTGTAGTTCTCTTATCCTCTCAGTATGAATCAAGTTGTTTCTAGACAAAAAGTTATTGGCATTGTCCAATGTTTGATTATGCTGCTTTATCATTTTCTGGTTTTCCATAAGCTGTACGGTCTTCAATTTTTCTTTTTCCAGCTTAGATCTCAATGCGTCTGCTTCAACCTTATGATCATTCAACTCTACTCTTTGCTCTTCATGTATTTTGGTCACATGTTTAGTGTTGACTATTTCAATCTCTGCTCTCCCTAATTGGTCTTTAAGTTTGAATACGTCTACCCGACACATTTTTAATGCAGCTTGCGTCTTAATAGCTGACTCTTCCCAAATGCTTAGCTTTTTCCATATAATATGTCATATCCTTATTAATTGTCTTCAATTCATCCTTTGCCTTTATCCAGTCTTGACCCACAGAGTCCCTTTCTTCTTCAACTGTTTTTCTCACAGCTCTTTCTTTGGCTAACTGCTGCTCCAAGGATACTCTCTGCTCCTCCTTTGCTTTAAGCTCAACTTGTAATAATTTTACTTGTTCTCTTAATTCTTCTTCACTATTCACTCTTTTCCTTCGAGTGCCTACAAATTCAAAAACTTTTGCCATATAAGAGACTCCTCCATTACGCCATTCGGGATACCTTTCACTAACTGTAGGATTCCTTACACCTATCTCCTTTTTAACTATCACTAAAGAATCCCAATCATGCTTAATGCTCTCCAGCATTTCATTATATGCGCCTTTGTAGACTAGTGAATTGAGTTAAGCCAATTGTTCTTGGAATGCTTTGTATGCCTCCAAGTTGTCTTACAACCAAAGCAGGTGCATAACTAGTATACCCAGTCACCCCAATTAAAGGTACCCAAGGCTTTTTCCCACAGCCCATTAGGTATGCTACATTTTTCATCTATGGAGCTCTCCAATTAAAATTGCTTTGCGGAATTCCTTGCAATTTTACCCTCCAATCATCTTCAGAAAAGTTTTCCCATTCACTTGATACAAATAACTCGAGTGGCTTTTGGTCAAACCACCAAAAATTTCAGAATACTAGTGTTTCAGATTCTATATGGCTTACCATCCAAATGAACAACAATGGAACACAACATCTCATAAAACCTTTCCCAATCCTTTTGCAATGATTGAGAGATAAAAAAGTTTCAGCCAAGATCGCAGCAGAAGGATTAATTTTGGTCTTCTCATACTTAACAAACAAATTAGCTGCCTCTAAACCAATAATTCCGGTCGTCGAAAGACACCAAATCAACCCAAATATCCCCAAAGCCAATATTCAGTATACCTCCAAATTAGCACAAAGATTAGACTTTTTAGCAATCAAAAGCTCTTCTAGCCGTTTCCATCTCAAACCCCAGAATTACTTTTTTCTCTATATAAGCTCATTTGACGGATTCCCAATAGCTTAGCAAGCTCCTTTATAGTATTCTCAATTTTTGATGAAAGTAAACCTTATGGATATCCTCGGGGAATTTTGTCAAAACACCGTATTCTTCAATGGTAGGAACCATATCGACATTCCCAAATGTAAAACATCGATATTCAGGATCCTAAAAATGAATTAAGGTTTTTATGGCTAATGGCAGTACTGGAACATTCAGAAGATGCAAAATTCTCCCATACATTTTAGTAAATTCTGCCTCATCGGCCAAGTATTTGGTGAATGGAAGCTGATTAGTACTTAAAAGTGCATTTTTATCAAGGTTTTATATCATCATTTTGCATTTGAAGTATCAATAACTCCTTAACTAACACATGTTTTATAATAATATAAGATACCTTTAATTTGTGGTAAATATTTATTTTTAATGCAGATTTCTTGTTGAACAATTTTTAGTGGAGTCGCCATTCTATCGCACCCGACATCGCGGCAGCCTTAAAAATTTATTAAATCTTTGGAAAGAACGGATTTCTGGCATCATGTTCTTTAATGAGGATATTCTTTGTTTAAGGAGTCGCCACCTAGTATTATGGTTACTAGAAACCCTAACTGGTCAACAGAGATTCTATGGTCCGAGACTAGTTACGTAAAAGAGAAGATATTATCACCCCTTAAACGTCCTACCTAAGGCAGACTGCATTGTTGATCTTTGTCCTTAATTGCTAACAATTTTTTTTGTTGGTTTATACTATGATGTGTAATACTCTTGACTCTGGCGCCAATGAATATTCAACTATGAATATTTCTAACTCTAGCGTTGGTAAATATTCCATAGGTATCAAAATAAATAAATTTAAATCATCCCTTTTTTCTTTTATTCCTGACTTTGGTGTCAATAAAAAAAAATCAGTTTATTTTTTTATACATCATAAAAAAAAGTAAAAATAAAATAAATTTAAATCAGTATTTTTTTATATTCCCGACCCTGGTGTTAGTGAATAAATAGATCAAATAATTTTATTTTTTTATGCATATATATTTTTTATATGACTAAGTAAAAGAGAAATACAATAAAATAAAGTAAATTATTACCTTTATTCCTGACTCTAGCGTCAGTGAATAAACTTATAAATTTATTTTATTCTATTTTATTTTTATTTTTTTGCCTATTTTTATTTTTTACGAAATTAAACAAAGTTCAATGAAATAAATTTGAATCAATATTTTATTCTGACTCTAACTTCAATGAATAAAAACAACACATTCATTTTTTTGTTTTTTATTTACACATTTAGAATTTTGTTTTCTATTTTCTATTTTTTTTATTTTTTCTATTTTTGGGCTGGGCTGGGCCCAGCCCAACGCAGCCCATATCTTCTAGGCTGGACCTAGCTCAGCTCACATGGGTTGGGCTGAGCAACACGCGTGTGCTAGCGCACGCGTGTTGCTACACTGTGCAAGTGAATTAATTCACTTGCATAGTGTAAAAGGCCTCTTAATTGTGATAACAAAAGAAGAGGAAACAACATACTTGTTCTGTAAGAGGCGTTGGAGACGAGGGTGAAGCTTGGGCTGGAATGGATGTTGGTGATTTTCGCCCTTTCCTTCTGTTTTCCCGGAAACGAGAACGAAGATGCTGGCTTCCGTGGGTGCTGAAATTTTTTGGGTCGTTTTCTACAGGAATGAAGGCAACGACAGCTGATGGTGATTTTCACCCTTTCCTTCTGTTTTCTCGAAAACGATAACGACGATGCTGGTTTCTGTGGGTGCTGGAAAAAAAAAATTGGGTCGTTTTCTGCAGGAATGAAGGCAACGGCCACTGATTCCTCCTCTATGTAAATTGTGTGTGCTCTGTTTTACTCTGGGTTTTTTTTTTACTCGGTCTTTGCTCTGTTTTAGGCTTCCCCCTCCCCTCTGGTTTTCGAGTCACCTTTTATAGAGCTTAAAAGCTTCGCCTTTCATCAATCCAATCTTTGCAGGACTCCTATTCAAATCATGAATAGGATTATGGAAAAGAGACGTGGTCCATGACTGCTGCAGATTTCCTGTTGAACCGGTACTCTCCGTGCGAAATGGAAGGGATGCAGAACAAGGCTTCCAAACGGCGCCATTTATATCCTTAGGCTATTTTTCACTTTGGTCCCTGAACTTTTTAAACTTAACAATTGGGATCTTAATCAATAACAATCAATTTCTAATTGTGCCCTTGGATTAATTTTAATTGAACCCTCAATTATAGTGTCATTTACACAACAGTCCTGAATTTCTAAACTATTCAATTTAATCCTTGAACTTTAATTTTCTAGCAATTTTCTCTGAATAACCTCCAAAGTATTTCTTCAATTAAACTCCTGATTCTTTTAATTAATTAAATCAAAGTTTAATTAAGTCCTCAAACTCATTAATTCCCCAATTTCTTTTAATTTGATTAATTAACTTAATCCCAAGCTCAATTAAGTCTCAAAATTTATTAATTCTCCAATTAAACTTTTGATTTAATTACTAAACTAGTCAAAAGTTTAATTAAATATTTAAACTTTCCAATCATATTGCCATTAACCCAAATTTTAATTCATTCTTCATTTACCCTTTTTTTTATCATTTTTTCATCATTTTTTAGTAAATAAAATAATTCAAATAAAAAGATAAAAAATTAGGTTATAGCAATACCAAATATATTAGAAGAGTTAAAGAAGAAGTTGCTGATAATTAATACCAATTACAAAGATGCAATCAATAAATAACAACATCTTAAATATTTAAGTAATGAAGTAATGAGATAGGGTGACAATGTTTCTACATGAAAAGAAGAGGTTATATAGGAAGCTATAACAAAAAAATATAATTTTTATATCATGATAAATAAGATTGATGATAATATTATCAATATTGTAAGAAATAACCTTATATCATGATAAATAAGATTGATGATAATATTATCAATATTGTAAGAAATAACCTTATATCATGATAAATAAGATTGATGATAATATTATCAATATTGTAAGAAATAACCTTATATCATGATAAATAAGATTGATGATAATATTATCAATATTGTAAGAAATAACCTTCTTATATTTTTTTTATATTATAAAAAAATATAATCCTTGGACCCTACTAAGATTTTAATTACTTTTCATATTTATATTTAGATTTAGTTTTAATTTTTGTATAAATAACTAACGTATTATTTTTTATTTTATTATTATAATTTAGAAATTTTAAAAAATATCAGAATTTTTCTATTTATTTTTTATGACGTCAAAAATCAACTATTATATATATAATTTTATTTTTTTTATAGGATGTATAAGATAGATTAATTAAATAAAGATATGCGCACTATCAACATATCAAAGAAAAAAGAAGAAGAAGAAGAAGAAGAAGAAAAATTAAAACCATCATACGAAATCCAGCAAATTGTGCAGGCACACTCACAAATGAAGCATGAAGAATCCAGCAATCCACGTGAAAACCACGTGGAGAAAAAAAAGAGTGAAGACCTGGCCAAAACGACATTATTTGGATAGTTAAGGAGTCGTTTTACGGCCTTTTCCAGTCGGATCACGCTAACAAAAACGATTTTGTAGCGAAAAAAAAGATCATTTTCCAGGACAAGGCTAGGCAAGGCAGGGGTTTGGCTTCGATCGAATCCTGTGGTTGTTATTCAGAAATTTGGGTGAGAAATCATGAGCGGAAGAGTGAAGAAAGAAGTTGAAGAAACAGATTTGATTAAACCACAGCCGTTTCATGAGGAGAACCGGAAATATGTGGAAGACGGAGACGTAATTCTCGCTCAATTAGCTCTCTCTCTTTCCTCATCGATTTTTCTGTTTCTCTTCCTGTCTAGCTTCATCATCTTGGTTTCTAACAGAATAACACCGCCTGACGCCTCAGATCTCGCTTGTTTCTTTTTTCTTTTCTTTTTGAAATAGGTGATTAAGATGTGATTTTGGATGTTAATGTTGGCAGGGTAAGCAGAAGAATCCGATGGAGACTACTGCTAAGCGTCTGAAGATTAAGAGAAGATATTCGGATTCCAAACTTAAGTTTGTAAGTTAAGAAATTCCTGTTATGCTGTTGCTTACCTCCTCTAGTTTTATGTGAGGAATGTAATGCCTGCCTGACAAGGAGGGGAGATGGGATATTTTGTAGTTCTTGTTGATAATATCACTACATTATGGATTTTCCATCTAATTGTTTGTTTCATGACAAGGTGTTTTCTCTGGTGTTCTTTTTTTTTTTGGACATGGATATGAGCCTTTTCCTGTCGGGGACAGTTGTTGTCCCTTTTTGTTTTCCATTTCCTTTCCTTCTTCTCAGATGAAAG